AGCACCGCTGTCCAGTGCTTGGGGCTCGTGGCATCCAAGTCAGAGCCAAAAATCGATTGCCCCTGAAGAAAAGAGGGGAGAGCATTAACGGCGGTACACGTGTTTTTTCCCTTCCACCTGCCCAGCTGCAGGCATGTCTGACTCAACGCGGAGTTGTACTATTTATACCGCTCTTGGAGTCACGGAACGCCATATTGGGTCTTTAAATGCAGAAAACTAGCTGACTACGGGGAAGAGAAATTTTGGCGCCCGCCGCCAGTCACTGCATATTCCCGTAGAGAGAGAGAAAACTTGGACGAGTCATGTCGCGTGAGTGATTTGTGGCCTCGATTGATCTATCACTTCCTCCATCTTCTGCTTCCCTTTTTCGTCGAACTAGCCTTGCTTCTGACCATTAGAACGGTTAAAGTTCGAGCTTTCTGCACACAGTTTTGTATTTATGTATAACAACACCTGCCAAAGCTCAAAACCCATCCACCGTCTCATCAGTACGTTTGACACCGATTGGCGCAGATTAAAAATTGTACCTACTCATTCATCCCAATTATGAATTTTTAAATGTTTGCTGGTCGTTTTACAACTAAAACATACACTCTTCACTTTGTTTGACATCAAATTACTCTGTCTTTGATAAACGTAGAATAGCAATGTAAGTAAGCGACCCCTTGTACGAGAGGGTGTTTTTCCATTTTCAGCAGGTGAGAAGCGATGCCGGGCACAGAGCCACCACCAGTCGAATCCAAACGGGTACGCCACGAGGTCACGGGCCACTTGCTCGGCGCGAAACAAAAGTAAACTCCCTTCTCTGGCTTTTAATTTGCATTCTATTGCCGCAAAGTAGCTGTCGCTTGCACTCGCTCTCGTTAAAAAAATGACGCAGCAGAGGAGAGGGAAAAAAGAAATCCCACGTACGAGCTCTGCAAAGGAGGCAAAAAAAAAAAAAAAAAAAAAAAAAAAAAAAAACAATAATAAACCGGAGAGAGAGCGTGCTCGAGCACAGCTATTTAGATTCCCTTGTGCGGTTCTCCGTTTACCCACTCACGGCGAGCTCACGGTGGGGCACCTTTTGTTCAACTTTTTTGCCGTTTGCTCCGAAAAAGAAAAATTTAACTTACGCTTCAAAAGAAATAAGAAATGCACTCACGCTGATCATCTATACGCCTGTTGCTTTCGTTTTTCTCCAAAACTCATTTTAGGGCTCAACGATGCCATGTTCACTCTGAAAGCGCTAGCCGGAGTACTCTGCTTCTACGGTATCCTCGTGTACGCGCTCAGCAGTCCGCCCACAGTGGACGCCTCGGCCTTCGCTCGAGGCTGAGTTAAAAATTCACGCAAGGAATGATAATCCAGTGGATGAGAGGACTCGATGGATCTTGTGCTCGCTCAAAGACACTGCAAGTTTTTGTTCAAAATGTGGTTGAACGAGCATCCTAATAAATCCCCCGTTCGATGAGAATGTCGTTATTTTCCGTTACTATTGAAAATCGCGTACATTTTCACTCGATGGAAAGACGTTGTGAACTTGCTTTTCTCAACGAGATCTGATTCTTGCACCTCGGTCTATCGAGAACAACCGGATTGTCCAAAGTACGCGCAACTTGTGCGGTGAAAGCGCGGAAAATGAAACAACAAGAGGGTGTTTTTACCAGTAAGACGAAACAAATGGGGGAGAAGGCATGAAAACTTTTAGAAAAATAACAAATCGAGTATACGTACGCATCAAATATGTAAGGAGTAGAGAGCCTTTAGCGTGGCACGTGCACACGTGTAGCTCGAACAAAAGTAGAGCGGCGATCTTCAAAGAAAGGAGGGAGGCAGCATTGAGTGCTCGGGAGGGAGAGAGGTTTGATCTACTTGAGAAAATGGCCCAATCATGGGGAGCTGCTGCTGGCACTATCGAAAGAAGAAAGTCGACGTGACGGCGAAAAGCCTCGTGTGAGTCGAGTTTTCTTGCCGATCTTCGAGACGAGCGACCAGTAAGTGTATGTACGTACGTCGAAGAAAGGAGCGGGTAAAGGCCGATGAAAGCGCTCGAGCGAGTTTATCCAAGGACGTGGAGCTCCGAGGCGCGGGTGAACGTCAATGAACACATGAGTTTATCGACGCTGAATTTCTTTCTCTCTTTCCAAAATACACGAGCATAGGTTTTTTTTTTTTTTGGACGAAATTGTGCACGCGTACTTTTGACTCACCCTCTTCACCCCTTTTTTTACACGAAACCACAACACAACAAAGAGCTTTGGAAACGCGTTCCATATCACGATTAATATTCAAAGTGCGGGGGTTGTGGATTTTTATTTTTTATCCTTCGTTTCAAAGCCCGAATGTCGGGTAAGCACAAACGAGAGAGCATAGCAAATAGCGCACACCGCAGTGTCACACGTATACATGCAGTTCGTGAAAAACGCAAAAGCTCCGGCACAGTCGATCCTGATGCCGACACGTAACTTTATACTTTGAGGTTTGTAAAAACTTGTAAAAACGATGCAATGGTTTTACTAGTGTGTGTGAAATAACCCAAAGTTGTGGATGGCTTCAATGACAAAAAGCTCCAACGGCTCCGAATGGCAGATGCAAAAAATCCCCTATACGAATTGCAAGTGGCACCCTTAATTGTCTCTTTTCGTTAAATCCCTCGATTCCACGCGGATCCAACAAAAGAAATCGGGATGGCAAAAAACAGGGGGGGGGGGAGCGAAGCTCCAATGGAGTGGCGTATCGAAGGCTAGCAGAGGGCACCGAGTTACCCAACAGCTCGGGCATTTATCACGCTCACGAGCCAACTTTTCATTAGACCCGTACACAGTACACTCCATCTCCTTGGGGGGCTCGGCCATTCTCGCGTTCACGGAGATTTAATACGAGAACGCTCCTGCCAAGCTCCGACTGTACAATACATCATCCCGTACACCCCCAAACCCCCGGCTCCTTCTGATGCCTCTCGATATTTGATTTAGATGGGAAAGTGGTGTGTGTGTGTGCCCCTCCCTCGCTCAGGTCAACTAACGCCCACCTTAAATCTCGACCCTCCTGTACGTACAACCAACCCTACACGCAATGCGCGTCCAAGTGAATTTCCCAGTCAAGCTCCGTTCTCGCTTTAATAATGTACACATATATATATGTATATATATGTATATGTTTATACGTGTATAAGAGCGCGACGGAAGAGTTGAACGTACTCTCGGGGCATTGTCGCTTGGCAAGGCTTTTTGGCAAGCTCTGCCTTACCGGGGTGTATAACGCGTATACACGCAAGGGCGCAAACTTTGCCCCGAGAGTTACGGCGAAAATTGTTGAACTGCTTCTGGCCGCTTGCGTGTGGTATTGGTGCATATACATGTACATGTACGAGCTGGATGGCTTTTACGTATACTACATGTATACATTGGGTGCATAGGTATAAAACGATATATTGCGGGGCTAGACGGGACGGAGAAAACGCACGCGGAATGATTTGGATGCTTTCCACTTTTTTTTTGTGTGTGTCTCTCTCTCTCTCTCTCTGTGGATATGGGTACTCACGCTGTATGAGCAAAAAATACCATCTATTGCATGAAGGTGCTGAAACATCTTTTTTTTTCTGTTCGCCCTTCGTATACTTCTATCTGGTGAGCCAGAAACATCGTGGTATCCCTAAAATCAAGGTTGTATAGTAGATGGTTTCTTTTTTCCACATTTTTTTTTCTTTTTTTAATGATTATTTTAAACGCAAGCAGCCACCAGTTTTCGATTGTACAGACCTCTTCTATCTTTGTGCTGGTTGACGAAAAACTCGAGGGTGTTGTCAACTTTAGAAAATTAACCTACGTGTATGACGAATGCTCAATTTCTGGGAGTCACCGAGCTCACCGAAGGAGGGACGATTCGGTATTACCTGATCCCACCTGTGCACATCCCGAGGACGGGTATCCTTTTGACGTCTACAAGGATTAAAATGGGCACGGCTGCTCTCGTGTCTTCCCTCTTTGCTGCCAGCTACCCCCTTCTATGCTTATTTCTCCATTCCCTGGTCCGTATTAGTACATTCGTTCTTCCTTTCCTTACTTCCGACGAAGGGAGCAGAACGACGACGATGACGACATCCTTATCCTGTCCGTTCTAAAATGAATTCCATGAGATCTCGGAATCAGCGCTAAGAGACGCCAAGAGACTCCCCCCGAGATTGGACCGGCTCCTATCGCTCGTACAGGTACATATACCTACCCACGTAAATGTATCTTATGTGTGTATATAAAACAGTGTGCAGGCAAAAGAGAAGAGGAAGATCGAGCGAAATTACTTCCCCCCACCCCCACCCCAAAGATGATTCGGCTTCTTATCGTCCGTCATAAGCCTGGATGTACATGTACACTCGGCGAACTTGACGGATTGTGACTCCCCCGTCTCTCTCTCTTTTTCACTCGGGCCGAGGTGTATATGAAATGAGACGTGCCCGGAATGCGCTCGAGAGAGTGCTTCGAGGTTATTGTGAAGAAGAAGAGAAGATCCAGCGTTATCGTGCACCCATACCTTATATATATGCATACTCTGTGGATTATTAAACGGCAGGCGAATGGAAATAGCTGTGGAGTAAGTTTTCAAAGGTTATTCGAACCGAATTGTCGGTTAATGTCCTTGCTGCTGTCATCGTCCTTGAGTAAAAATTTTTTTTACCTATTCTGCAGGATATTAATTAACGTCCGATGCGACGAAAGCCTGATGGCTCCGATTTAACCTACCGAGGTCGTCCAGATTGTGCCATTTGTACGTGAATAATACTTGACCATTACACGGAAGCTCTGTATAACAGGGACTAGTCGTCCTTTTTTTTTTTCTCCTTCTTTTGTATGAAATTTTTTTTTTTTTTTTTTTTTATTGATACAGGTGCGAAGATAGAATACTTGCTGTGTTTCAAAATTTTTTTTATTTATTTAATCAACTTTACTAATATGTCAATTAATACAGTTGTATATAGAATCAACGCGTGAAATTAAAATTATTACAAGACAGATTCAGCTTGTATCGGTACAAGAATATGTATACCAATGTATAGACATTTACAAATTGTTCTTGGATTTTAATAACATATCACACCCTTAGTCTTTAGTCGAGCTCAATGAATTGTTCTTCAATAAAGCACGATATGTAAAATTTAATACATGAAGTTGGTGGTTGGATGAGGTGAGATGGTGTTAAATCATGTTTCCTTTAATTTTTGCTCAAATATAGTAGTTTTCGTCATAGAAGCGCCATAGCCGATGGGGCTACTTTGCTGTTCGAGGGATCGTACACCGTAGGGTAGCCTCGGTTGGATGGAGCTTATTCACCTAAAAACGTCCTAAGGTAGGAAAAAGAACTTTTTTTTTTCATTTGCTACAGTCACGTTGGCTTATAAAACCCTTCTAATAAATCTATTGCCTTTTCCGTTAAACACACACCACAGGGTAACATAAATGAAAGAATGCGTCCACCTGTAATGGCTTGCGCCAATACTGGTGATAAAATTTTTTCGAGGTTAATCTAAAACTACACTCGTTTGTACAAATCAGTCAAAAAAATACCTGGCAACACAAATCGTTGCAACAATTAACGCAAACACGGTACGATTACACGTGATCTCAAAGGCACTGTTGTTGTCAGCCGGCATAGTGATGATGGATAAATTACTCTTTGTTACATCTGTAATCCAATCTATGTAAGTGAAAATTTTAGTTACAGCAAGTTTGTTCTTACAGACTGTTCCAACGATAATTGACTCCGAATCGACGGTCCAAACTAAAAGGTCGCCCAGAGGAATCTGTGGAGCGTAAAAAATACGTAAACAAAATTAATCAAATCGGTTATTGCAAAGGAAAAGTATGTTTTAATTATTACGTCGAATTGATTTTTCGCTTCAACGCGATTGACACAGAATTGCGATTCGTGGAGCACAGGAAACGATGTTTCCCTCAACTGTTCCATACAAGTGTTGTTGTCGATGACATGAACAGTTGAAAACTGCAGGCGCAGTTTGTCGTTGTAGTGTAAACCAACCAACGTCATTTTCTTATTTTCTAAAATAGTGGCATCGAAACCAGGCAGGCTTATGACATTCACAGACTCACTGAGATTTACTTTTTGAGTCAACTTAACGATGGCTACGTCGAAATTAGTATCACTGAAAATATTTTTGTCATTTCAAGTGGGTGTCCCGTTGATTTGGGAAAAAAAAAACACATTTCATAGAAAATGAAGCTCTTACTTTTCGTTGTTGGTAAAATTTTTGTGAAAAAAAGTATCATCGACTGGAATCTTTTGCATATCATCTTCATCTAGTGTGACGCTACCAGCAATAACGATTAACTCATTCGGTAATATACTCCTCATGCATATGGCAGACGTTAAAGCATAATCTCTGGCAATCAGTGCTCCTTTACAACCATTCATTAGATTTGTGGAACTTGCAATGTGCACGTAGTAGGGAAACTGCCCAATCTCAGCGTTTTTTTCGTTAGCTGCCTTGGAAACTTTTTCAACACATAATAATAATAATTATAATAATAATAATATTCATTATTGGACCTTATTAAAAAATCTTGATTTAAAAAATTAGGTAACGATTGAGAGGCTGGAAATGAAAAGGTCACATATAAGACTGGAAAACGACAATTATTGGCTCAAGGGCCGAAATTTTAAAATCAATTGATTAGATTTGTGCAGCTAGGTAACATGTTTAGTCGTTGGTGGCAGCATATATTTCCAAAAACAGTAAAAAAGTATTTAAAAAATTGATGTAAATCATCACCCCAAAATACTTTTTAATAGACCTGACTTTAACTAATTTTACCAAATTATTGCAATATTCGGTTCACAATGGGTATAATTCAAGTGATTCAGAGTTATCTGTTTCTGGCACAAAATGTGGAAAATATTTTTTACTTATGCACCCTTTTCGTCAATGACTTCTTAATCGTGAATTTAGCCGATTCTCGACTTTTGACACTATTACGTAAACTTTAGTACAAATCAGATAATAAGTACTCACCATGAATTGCCAAGAGTGCCGTTAGAATTCGTAAGAAAATCATCGTGACGAAACAACAACGAACATATAATCTTCCTTCAATGTCAGTCGTTAGTACATGGATATTTAGAAGTTGGACGATTAATGTTATCAACCTATGATATCATACCAATTGAGTCAACAAATAAACGGAAAGTGCTGCTTCACTGCTTATTGTATGAGTGACTAATCCTTGGCGTTATCTTTGTACGGAAAAAGAAGTTATGAAATGTTATGACAATCTTTGCATTAAAAACTGAATTAGGAGATAAATTTTCTAAAAATGCTGTAGCATAAGATGCAAAAGTTTATTAACACGTTGAAAATGTTCTATCAGGTTTTGACGTGAGAAAGATGGATCAGATGATCGTGACTATAGATTTGGCTCTGTATACTTATGATGAATATTTTAACGAATATTTATCGTTTTCGTGCAACATTTTCGGTGAAAGATTTAATAATTAGTTTTTAACGAAACTTTGTATGTCAACTGATTTGAAAAATGCTTACAGTTTAACTTTTGTGCACCTAAAACCTATCACAAACGATGGAAAAAAAAATAAAAATTTACAGTTTGATACAACAACGTTTAGGGAGAATTTTAAGTACTGTAATAAAAACATCAGTTAAATACGAGTTTCCGTGTACTTCAAAACATCATTAAAAAGTCTTGGTAAGATTTTGGGAGACGTGAAGTATTTCGAAATACCGTGGAAAATTTTACTGTCACCAAAAGTTTAGATGGCTTTCAAGATTTAAAAGGCTTATTGTTATTTTAAATGACTAAAATCAACGTAATCAAATAGGTAATGAAGCAGTCGTGCAACGTGGCACTGCTGAGGTCAGACTACTTATAAGACATAGCAAGCAACTAAATGTCACAATCAAAGCAAATGCGTAAGTAGAGGTACACGATGTTGCCAAGTTCTGATGTTCCATAATTTTGATGTAAACATGCACGTTTCGAAGGAAATATATTTTAAAATATAAAAACAATTTTTAACTTACAGCAGTTGAAGAATTTCAACTCAAGCGAGGCAGATAATGACAGAGATTAGTAGAGAGATTGCTGACTGCAATGCTACGGCGCGAGTTCACTTTTGGCCACTGTTTCGAGGCTCCAGGAACTCCGCGAATGACTTTCGAATTGGGACATGAAAAAAATACCCAAAATTGCGGAATCGTTAGCAACGTTTGTAATCACTTTGCAAAAAATTTTTGGATCTTCCGGTTGTCTATAAAAAAATAAAAACTAAATGGTCCAGCGAGAGTCCGGATAAGTACGTTGTCTGGCTCAAATACTCCATATACGGCTATGAAACTTACTTTAGTCGTTTGCAATTTAATTGTCGATGATGATTATCTATTGCATTATTGTAAAACTAACAGAAAAACAATGTGAAATAATTATTTCAGTCATTGCGAATGAAGTCTTCTCTGCAGCTATATATATAGATATAGCTCGAGAGCAGACAGCTACCAAACTGGCGGAAAATTCAAATATGTCGCACAGTAGAACAACTTCAATTAATATCAAGATTTATAATTTAAAATAGATATTGAAGAAAAACTAACACATGAGTCATTACAAAAGAACCTTAAACTTATTATTTTTTAAGTGAATTTCGAAAATGTGTTTTTACGTTATGCAATCATCTGCTCTACGTGATTGAAGTCGATTCGGTCTTATCAAGTTGAATTAAATACTAAAAAAACTCTGTTGCAGTATGAATTTGCAACAAGTGTGCATTATTAATAGAACAAATTATTGTGATACAATAAGTATAAAACTATCATTTTGGCGTTTGAAAGTTGGTAACGTGAGTCAGAGCAAATATATATATATATATAGGTACATATATATATATTTATAGGTATACAGCTCGAGTCACTCTAAAGAGATGCGCTCGAATGGGAGAAGGGAGAACGAGCCTTATGTTCACATAAACTGTCATTTGCGGATTGCTTTGATTTACGCGAAATAAGTACCCCTGAGCACAAAGTCAGTTCAAATAATTATAATTATTGAAGCTCACAATTTGTTAGTGCGAGAGTGCAATTAAGAAGTTGAAGTTGTTCTACTGTGCGACATATTTGAATTTTCCGCCAGTTTGGTAGCTGTCTGCTCTCGAGCTATATCTATATATATAGCTGCAGAGAAGACTTCATTCGCAATGACTGAAATAATTATTTCACATTGTTTTTCTGTTAGTTTTACAATAATGCAACAGATAATCATCATTGACAATTAAATTGCAAACGACTAAAGTAAGTTTCATAGCCGTATATGGAGTATTTGAGCCAGACAACGTAATTATCCGGACTCTCGCTGGACCATTTAGTTTTTATTTTTTTATAGACAACCGGAAGATCCGACAATTTTTTGCAAAGTGATTGCGAACGTTGCTAACGATTCCGCAATTTTGGGTATTTTTTTCATGTCCCAATTCGAAAGTCATTCGCGGAGTTCCTGGAGCCACTCGGTATACCCCCTCCACGCTTCTCAAATAAAAAAAAAAATATGTGTGCCTAGTTCGACCGCTTGGCCGCGATGGGGCGCTCGAAACAGTGGCCAAAAGTGAACTCGCGCCGTAGCATTGCAGTCAGCAATCTCTCTACTAATCTCTGGTAACCACACTGTGGTAGGACCGTAGTAGGTAATATCTAGGGTCTTGCAGTGACTATCAAGGTAGCTAAGGCCCCTCGGTGTTATCCATGCGTACACACAGTACATGAATCAAAAGACGAATGATGCGAAAAAAATAAATATGTGCAAGCTAATGATTTTTTTTTTTTTTTTTTTTTTTCAAGAAGTGTTCTTAGAAAAAATAATTCAACAAGGTAGACAGTACAATTTTTTTTATCTAATATCGCAAGAGCAACACTACAAAGCGCTTATAATATCTTCGCGAAATTTCAAGGTCATCAAGGGTTCACGTGAACAACATCACGCATCTGAGTGTCCAATAAAGACTTTTCTTCCAAAATCTTGGCACCATCTAACTGAAAAAAAAAAAAATGTTGATCGAAGCATCGTTCCAGCAATCAATTAACTTGTCAAATGGTTTGTTTAACACACCAGCCCTAAGAGCTGCCTCCGAGCGCATATTGTTCTCATTCACGGTACATCACATCTTTCTCACCCCCTTCCTCTTTGCCACCTGTGAGTAATTTAATGGTTAATTTATTCTAATCAGCACTCGTTTCCACGAAACTCGATGATTGTTCCCTTTAAGCCCTCAGCACTTCCGTTTCCCCGTCGCGTCTTCACCCGCAGCCTGTGGCGCTACACTCCGGCTCTCCCGTCTATCATTGGAAGAAACGATGTAATTTATGATTCAGCGTGAGCGAAAGCACCTATCGATGCAGCCGAATTTTTTTCCTCCCCGTACACATGGCTCCCAGCTTATTGATTGCTCGAAAGTACGCAACGAGGGATAAGTGTGATCTGAAACACGCACGATCGTTATATATGTATACCAACGAATCGCTCCGATGAATTAATATCGAAGGCACATTCGTCGCTGCATGGGATTCGCCAATAGAAACCTGCGCCTGTATACATGTATATTTGCATTATCAACATTCGTAATCAACGAAGCAGAAATTTTAATATTATACACAGACAAACTTCAAAAGCACGAAAGCACTTTGAAAGCGTTAGGTATACGACCCCGTGTCGTGTGTTGCCCGCAATTGCTATCTTTTGCGTGCGTAGATAGTGAAAAGCTCGGACTCGCGAGCTTGAGGAGCAAATGAGGGGACTAAATTGGGAAACTCCACGAAGCACTCGGGTACTGTACCCCCCCCTGTCGCGGCCAGAGAAGTAGGCCACGCTGCTGTTGTGCTCCTGGCCTCTTTCTCTCCCATACACAGCAGCAAAGAGAGAAAGAGGGAGGAATTGAGAAACGAAAGCTCTGCCCTGGCACTTATGTGCGCGTGTACACGCACGAGCGTGCGTAAATGCAAAACTGCACGCGACAAAGGGAATAAGGGCCGCTGCACTGCTACGGAGGGTATTATAATTCGGCGTTGGGGGTAAAGGGGGAAAGTGGGTGGACAGCTGGCTCTGTTTGGGCTTGATTTGTTCACTTTGAATAGTTACGGACTTGTTCCGGAAGAGAAGGGAGGGCGCTTATTTCTTACTCCTTTTTTTTTTGGCCATATCTTTTGTCCCAAGTGAAAAATACTCACTTCAGCCGGTTTTTCTTTTATTTTTCCCGTTGAACATTCACAACATGAGGTACAGGATGGAAAATGGTACACTGGATGGCAACGGAGGCTCGGGAGTCAATATATTGTTAACAAGCAAAAGTTTCAACGCCAATTTACAAACAGGAGCCACCACGACACCGTCATATCAACTATGGAGCTTAACTCGAGTGATATTCCGTGTAACCCTCCAACTTACACACAATTTGATTAAGTTCAACCCGAGAAGAGAGAGGGAGAAGGAGTGAACGGGAGAACCATCAAGGTCGCCGGAGAATTTGCAATCGTCCGGCCAATAGTCCGAGACAGTCGTGTCCGGTAATAATTTGTAGTGACTGCCGGCTCGACGGGTAGACAGATACACGTATATATATATACACTTGGGTGCGTATAACACGTGCGTTTGCCGGCAGTAAGATCGAGTACCAGCGGCCTTCCTCCGCATCTCTGTCGGACGCACCGAGCCGGTAACTGTTGTGCTGCCGAGTTGGCGTCAGCGTTTGCATGTAAAGGTCACGTGGGGTTTACATAACATCCACGCGTCTGATTTGACCAACTGGTGCGAGCTTTGGATTTTGGTGATAGGATGCACATTGGGTATACCCGACGTGACCATGACTCTTGAGAACCATCAAGTTTACAGATAAGTAGATATCGAGTCCTTTTTTTGTACTAATTAAATCATCCCGAAGCTACCGTTTTGTTATCCATCACACGGAGGATGGCCAGTCGTAATGTAATCAGCGTCAAGTGAAAAAAAGCTCTCGCATCCTCAAATGTTTGCTTCCAATATTAGCCGTCCTAATAAACAGCAGCTGCCTTGTATACGGCCGTCATATCGCGAGCGTGCAATCTGGCAAAGCTTGCGCGGATATACGTGTATACGTCTGAAGGATGCTCTCGAAAATTGGACGAAGCGTTACTGGTGACTTTATGAAATATTTAAAGGCTATGGCTCTTACTTCCTTGGCGACAAGACGCAGCGCTCGTCCTCTCTATTGCGTGTACGGTCTTTTACGGTGACTGGATTTTCCTCTCTCTTTCTCTGAGGCTTCTTTTCGAGGGACGTGATCAAAGAAGTGAGTTGGTTTTTACTACGGGCGTTATTCTCGAGGTGGTTGTGGCGCTCTCGTGACTAAAAATTTTATTTTCCTAGATTAGTATGGCACGTAATAAAATTGAAAAAAAAAAAAAAACTTGTTTACTCTATTGTACTTTTTTACGAGATTGTTTCATACAAATGGTGACCTTGTTAGAGGACGTTACAACAGATTTTTGAATTGAACACAGTTTATGAATTGTCGGTTATCAAAAATTCATAAGAACAGAAATTCTTTGTAAAAAAAGAAATTTTGTGTTTCATTCGGAATTTTCCCTTTTGCTTTAAAAAGACAAGTCACCTTTCAAACTGGTAATCAAGATATTATGAAAATCCAAACTTATTTAGTATACTACCATACAGACTCAAGTAAAAATATAATATACGTATCGTACAATTAGAATGAGGAATTTATAAAGACAATCGTCAAGTGCAGGCTTTATCGGTACATCGACAAAAAAGCATCGAATCGAGGATCAATGGATTGAAAAACATGTCTCTGCTGTGCGCTCCACCCACGAACGGACGGGTGCCCTTTTAAAATCTGCTCGAATTCCCCGCTCCCAAACGCACCAACTGCGCAACACTATTCGAAACACGCTTACCATCTCCTTCGTCGGGAATTCACAAGATGCGCGTTACATACGCACGTGCATGTCTGAGTACGCGTTTACATATTTCTTCGAGGCACAGATTTCGCATCCCTGCGAAGAGAATGAGAGATGGGGTAGTACATCCTCCGTTGTAAATAACGTAT